TGATAAGAAATTAAGTCAGATTCTTAAAAGTGTAAGCTGAATGACAAAGAGCAAAGAGCACCACAACACCTTAAAGACATACAAAGTTATTATCATCACATAATTGGGTGGGGGTTTTTTTGTAGATCCTGAGCTATTTCATTACATGGACTATTGTCCTGAGGAAAAAGGTTCACACATTGCGAAACAGTGAATGAAAACGTGCACATTAGAAAGAAACCATTAATAAAATAATAACCTAGTGTGACCTATGCAGTCTGGCATTGATGACTTGCAGATGAGAGCTTCCAAGGGAGACATCCCATCATTTCTTCTTCCCATCTGCTTTTCCAGGACCATCAAAGCCCATTGGAGTTGAGTGGGTGTAACAAATTAAAATCAATCAATCAATCAATTCATCAATCAGTATTGGTATAGTCTATGGGCAGACGTCTGAATGCTTCTCTCTGCTCCTTCAGGAATGGATCCTAAGTCATAAGTACTCCTGAAAACAAATGAGCACAATTTTGTATACTGGTTTTATGGAAGACATACTGGTGGAGTGGAGGAATGAGAAACATACCCAAATATAATAGCTAGCGATATGAGAACAATAAAAATCTAAGATTAGGAATAGGAATCAAATCAGCTGCAATAGATAACTATAATAATGAATCAGGAGTGTCTGAAGCCTATGGTAAGAGAAAGAAAAAAATTCATCCACTCCTCTCTCCAGTTACTAATAGAAATATAAAAGAGATTTTTTCCCCCTCTGTTGAATATGAGTGTATGTATGATAAAAAAAAGCTACCTGCAGCCAAGTTCAAAAAAGGTAAATCTTGTTTCTGAACTTTCAAATTGTTACTGTACGTATTCATTTTTGCAGAAATACAAATGCCCTTTTACATTATTTAAATGGCATGTAATTAAGTAGCAAGGTTCTTGGTTGCTACGGAGGGAAATCCAGCGTGCGCTAGGATTCCAAGCCCAGAGGGCTACAAAGAAGCCCACTAAGACTAAGAGAAAGGGGAGGGGGGAAAAGGAGGGGGGAGGAGTGAGGAGAGAGAACGGAGTGTTTAACATTCAGAATTTGTCCACAGCCGATAATTTATTGGAACTCATCTGTAACAAGGCCTGGCACTGATTTATAAGTTGATTTGAAAAATAAATAAAAGTGATAGAAACCTGCATTCGGTTTTAATGATAGACTGTTGCAGCGTGAAAAGTAAGGATATTGAGACACTGCAAGGAAATTAGATATTATGCCCTCAAGACAACTGCAGCTACCAGCCCATTAATTGTTAGATATTTATTATTAAAAATTTCTTTTCATGACTGACTGCAGAATATTTGTGCTGTTAAAGTTGTTGAGCACTGACATGAATGGAGTGCATGGAAGTCATTCTCTCTTTTTCCCCTCCTCCTCCTCCTTTTGTCTGCGTGCTTGACAAGGAGACGGACCTGAAAGAGATGGCGAATCTCTACCGTGCAAGCATGACAAACAGCCCGTGTTGCTTTCCAGATCACTTGCTAAACCATGAAATTTAAGGGCACAAGCCACCTAAAAATTATTTTGTGTAGTTTCAATTTATTCTCATTGGGGTGGTTGATTAATATCTAAAGCACCTACATACTACTTCAACACTTGAAAGCATGTTTTAGCAAATACCCACATTTAAAATACAGTCCCTTTTGTAGTTAATAGGAAAATACGACACTGGTTGTTCAGTCAAAATGTCTTGATGATTCCATCAGATATTAAACAAAAGGAAGAATCTGAAGTGTTCAACTGGACACACCTGTGTAAAATAAAATAAAAAAACCCTCTCCCTTTTTACGACCCTGTACTTAATTTGGGGCAGAATTGGGGCGATTGGTTGGAGCATTTATGGGCTGGATGCCCTTCCTGACGCCATACAGAGTTCACAGCAGATATTTTTGTGCCCTTAGAGAGAAAATCTGTTGCTACCTAGCATTGAACTCTCAACCTTCTGAGTGGGAGGTGAGCATTTTCACTGCTAGGCCACCAAGCCGCTCACACACCTGTGTTTCTATCAAAATAGGAAGGAGAGATAGAGAATTTTATAACAGCCTGAGCTTGTGGTTGAAATGTATAAAATTCACATTCTGGTTTATTTGTTTGAAATGTTGTAGGAAATCCATGTTAGTCTATGCTGGCCAAAAATCAGAAGGAATCTGGTAGCAACATTTTTTGACTAACAAATTTTATTAAAGGCATAAGGCACTCTATACATCTGATGAAGTGAACTGCAGCTCACAAAGGTTATGCTGCAATTTAGTTGCAGGAATATTTTTTATTGTGCATTTTTGCATTTCCTTGTTTTAGAATCTGTTTAGTACAAGAGCAGCTGTAACCTTGTGGCATGTAAAAGAGCCTGTTTCATTGCCAAGTATATCCAGTCAGTCAATTCTGATTTTTGCTAGAAGGTAAATGATATCAGTATTATGATCTGTTTCATACCTAATATCTTTCCCCCCCTCAAAAGGAAAGCTTCAAAAATAATTCAGAGATTTGGAATATTTATTTTATGATGATTTACTTGTAATGTAGTGCAAATTAACAGATTCATTATGTAGAATGATACAATACAACACTGCAGGTAAGGATGGTGTATATATTTTGAATTTGCTCTGGATTTTAAAAAATGTGGTCAGGTTTTCAATTTCTGGGCTCTCTTCAAGTACATGTTGTTCAACTGCCTATACATGTCTTCTTCAGTCTGGCATTGGTCTACAACTCTGTTGGTTGTGAACAAATAATCTGACAAGTATCTGGGGAGACTATGCCGAGAAAAGGTGGTCTGGATCAGGATGTTTAGTTTTTTGTTAGGACAGAGCAATTGGCCCAAGTAGTAATTGTACTCAAATTGGAACTTGGGTAGGATTCTAAAGTTTGGGAAAATTACAGAAATGTTCATAGACCACTAGTAATTCAATGAAAATAGTGGTGTATAGTATGGCAATACATGTATTGTTACACATGTCCAAGAAACATATCCTTCTATTTCACACGACTAAATTATAACAGTGTGTTATTTATGATTTTAATAATGCTTCAAAATCATTTCAGCTATAATAAAAATGGCAAGATTTGCTATCTGGGCTTGGCAATTACAAGAAGGATGGATGTAAAAGAAGCAGTGCATCTTGTGATCCTGGCTGCCATTCACGGCCTTTTGTGAAAATATAACAATGCAACACCTGCACTTTTGACTGGTATATTCTAGACTTGGGGAGTAGGGATGAAGAAGGCAGACATCCGGGAATGGCCGCAGTCCCTGGAACAAGCACATAGAGTGGCAAATTATGGGCTATATGTGTTGCATACATAAGACTGTTTTGCTCCTTGGAGGGAAAAAAACCCTTATAAAATACAAGTAAGACTAAGGCTTTGTCAAGGATCTCTGCCTTAGCAGCCTGCCTTAGAATAGCCAAGGACAAATAGGGAAGGTTTGTGTTGGAGTAATGGATGTAATAGATGAGCTGCCAACTATTCCTGCTGTGGCAATTTTGAGAGGATGAAGGTTCTACATTTGCAGTTGTGATGAGCTTTAGACATCTCCCATTATTTATTGCACAAGGCTTAGGAAATAGCAGAGGCCAGCCAAACCAGATGAACTGGGCAAAGGGAGTGTGAGGCCGCAAAATACCCTATGCTTAAAAGAAAAAAAAAGATTAAAAAGAGGACAAAATGTTTTTTAATTAATACTTTTTGACTCAAGGTTTTTTCTAATCTCTTCTTCAGCTTTTCAGAGTAGGACAGCTGAGAAGTTTAAATGAGCCAGTGCTATGCTATAGATTTCATTTTCCCAGAGTGAGCTCTTTTATCATGATTTCAGCCAAGAAACTGGGAAATTAAGTTTGATGCCAATACTGGTTATCTTTTTTTAATGAAAGTGTAGAAAATATAAGTTGCTTTCATTCGGCTTTTGAAATGTAAAATGGATGCTGAGCGGGCTGCCAACCAAAAATGATTAAGATTCGTTGTATGTGAAATGCATAAGAACAGTTGGTTAGCCAAAGAAAAAAAATTAAACTGATCTTTTTCGTATCTCTGTGTAAAATAAAGTAACCCTTTGTCAAATTATGATGAAATGCTATGAACTACCTTTCTGTGGTGTCATATTGGTTGGAATAATAAAGTTGGAAGGGACCTTGGAGGTTATCTAGTCCAACCCCTTGCTCAGGCAGGAAACCCTATACCATTTCAGACAAATGGCTGTCCAGTCTCTTCTTAAAAACTTCCATTGTTGGAGCATTCACAGCTTCTGGAGGCAGGTTGTTCCACTGATTAATTGGTCTATCAGGAAGTTTCTCCTTAGTTCTCTTCTTGCTTCTCTCTTTGGTTAGTTTCCATCCGTTGCTTCTTGTTCCGCCTTCAGGTGCTTTGGAGAATAGCTTGACTCCCTCTTCTTTGTGGCAGCCCCTGAGATATTGGAACACTGCCATCATGTCACCCCTCATCCTTCTCTTCATTAAACTAGACATACCCAATTCCAGCAACCTTCCTTATATGTTTTAGCCTCCAGTCCCCTAATCATCTTTGTAGCTCTTCTCTGAATGGCACATTAATTCTGCTGACTGCCAGGAGTTCAATCCTCCCCGGCTCAAGGTTGACTCAAGTCTTCCATCCTTCCGAGGTCGGTAAAATGAGAACCCAGATTGTTGGGGATCAATATGCTGACTCTGTAAACCTTTAGAGAGGGCTGTAAAGCACTGTGAAGCTGTACATAAGTTGAAGTGTTATTGCTATTGCTATCTCTTATAAAACCTAGGAACACCTGATAGGAAGTACAATATTATATTCTTCAAAATGTATGCTTTGTTCTCGAAATGGAATATTCAGATGCTTAGGATAAAAGATTTTGCTTGAGATCTTCTGATGATCTGTTCAAACAGACTAATTCCATTGCAAGGGTGGATTTTATTATCCTGCACAAATGTTCTGGATCTTCATGATTATTACAAAAACAAAATAATGTAGGTAAAATATGCAAGTATACACTCATGTGCATAATTTATTTAACTATAAAATTAGTGTGGCACAGTATTTTAGCATTTGCTTTAAAAACAAACACACGCTACAGAAAACTTTACAGAATGATCAAATTTATAACTTAATTACAATATCAAAAAAGGTACAAAATAATTCATCTGCTACTCCCTAGCTATTTTCCCAGCCTTCTCTTCTTTCATTTTAATGTACAGAAGTAACAAGAAACAGTATTTTGTGGAATGATGTAAGTTGGTTGGCTAATCAAACCTTTCTGAATACTTTTATAAGGGAAATGTGAATAAAATGAGAAATGCATTTTTTTTCAAGCTCAGAACCAAATGATCCTCCTTAAAACATTCCATTACAATGTTCCATCAGAACAAAACTGAAATATTTAAATTTTGCTTTGAGCTCAGAATATTCGAAATTGTCTATTTTGAAGTCGGAACAATTTGTTATAAGGTTGCAATGGTTTGTTCAAGGTTATATTTTGTGATCAGAATATTCATCATATGACACTTCAAAATAGCCAAGTTTTTGTTCTGAGAATGGACCAATTTGCACTATCTTAATCTTGAAAGAGAAATCTCAGCATGCTTCAGTTTTATTTCAAGCTTGGAACACTCAAATGGCCATTTTGAACTCAGAACGTTTGTGCAGACTTATTTGTAATATTAGTTGAAAGATAATTTCATAAAAGAATCAGGTATATGATAGAAAATGCATAGATAGCAAATTGCTCTCTTCTCTAAAAGCCCTTATGGTTTAGGACAGTGGTCCCCAACCTTCGCAGCTTGGCAGCCCAGCTGGGAGGGAAACCAGATCACATGAATGGTGGGCTGGCATACACGAGTTCATGTGTAATTTGACTTGCGTGAGCGGTGGGCTGGTGTGCACAGCTTAACTTGCGTAAGTTGAGTTGCACACACGTGTGCATGCATGCCAGCCTGCTTGTGCGAGTCAGGCTGTGTATGCATGTGTGGACTGGCTGCCATTTGTATGGCCCGATTCCAAAGAGGCCATGGCCCAGGGATTGGGGACCCTTGGTTTAGGAGTTCTAGTTTTTCTCAGAAGAAATCCACAGTGTTAAAACAATGAGAACAAAGGTTAAAAACAATCTGTGATAGATTTTATTATTTAAAAAGAAAAAAAAAGGCATAACGATTTCAACCTTGAAGGTTTAAACTTTTCACTTTTATCAATCAAGTTTGATTTGCTTCAATTAAGTTTCAATGCAAAATTACATTTAAATAAACATTCCAACAGTAAAACAAGGTCCACTGATTTCAGCCACTGCCAAAGCACCTTTTGCACAATTAAAATGCCCAGATTAATCACATTATTCGATCTCCCAAATGCTCCATTTAGAGAGGCAATTTCAATAGCAGCTTTCCCAAGAATTATTATTTTTCCACGTTCCTTGTCCAATGACATCCTTCAACCATCCCTTCCAAGAAGGGAGTCCAAGTGCTCAAAGAAAGTTTTGTAGACAAAAGTGCCTTCAATTCCTTTGGTTTTAACATCATTCCCTTTGGAAAATGATTTAGCTGGAGACTATTGCAATGAAAGAACAGAAGCAAACAGTCTAGTGCAACACAGGGCACATGCCAGTTCTATACTGTTTGGGATAACGTCCTTGTCTTTCTATCTTCCAGAGATTTATTCCAGGGACGGCACAGTGAAGGCAATCTGATTTTATCCATATTCTTGCTGTAAACATTGAGAAATATGCCAAGGATAACTAGTAAACCTGACCACACATACCTAAAAGGGGTGAATGAAAGAAAGAGTCACATTAGCACCTGCATGTGTAACAATCCAATACATTTAAGATTCAGACAGAATGCAAAACAGCCACCGTAGAAGTGAAGTGAGTTATAGTGTCAAGACTGCTAACATCGGATGTTCTTGCTTGCCATATATGAAGAAGCAAACCTGTCTTATTTAGCCTGTGTAGCACTTCTAGAGTTAAAGCAGATAATACTAGCCTAGTGGATGGGAAAATATGTTAGTTAATCATAACAATGTCTGAGCACAGTGTTGCCAAGGTCAGTTGTAAGCATTAATTGGAGAATGTGATTGATGACTGTAAAATGAAGGAGTGAGTTATGCTTTGTTATGGGTGTTTGGGGGAGGGAAGATTCAGTTTTTGGCTTAACTTTGTTAGTGCCGAAGCTATGCAGAAAATAAAGGATTCTTTAAGGTGAATAAGCCTCAAAGTTCTTTGAAAAGCTGCTTCTTTTCGGAACCATGACATATAGAACATACAGATAGTCCTCAAATTACAACAGTTCATTTAGTAACCGTTCAAAGTTACCATGGCAATGAGAAAAGTGACATGACCATTTCACACAGTTGCATCCCCATGGTCACGTGATCAAGACTCAGACTCTGCAACTGACTGAGCTGCAGAATTACTTCCTGCTCACTGAGACTGATTAAAGAAGCAGGTCTGATGATGATAACAATGAAGATGTAGTATTAGATACTTGTTATTGGCCATAGTTTGAGAATGACCATCAGAAGATCTAACTAAACCTTATCCATATTGTTCTGTTAAATAATTCTAACATCACCATGATAAAGGTCTTGAGTGTAACAATGGATATGTAAAGAAAAGAGAGACATACGGCATTCACCTCAAGGAAGACCACCCGAAATTGGATGTAGCTATTCCAACCACAAGGTAAAAACAGACAGAAAAAAACAACAACAGATAAACACATACCACCTTCCCCACCTGACCTACTATGGCTTACTAATTTTAGCCTAAAACAATCCTGGAGACTCCTTTCACCTAACAAATGCATGACTCAATGTAAACTCCAAAAAAATCACGAAAATAAATTAGAATCAACTGAATCAATACCTACTGATTTAAATTTTAAAAGTTAATTAATCCTTAATCTGCATCTCTCAAATATTCTTCGCTCACACAAACAGAAAACCCATCCCCACATGCACAAATAAAGGTACACAGTATATTCTTTTCCTTTGTCTCACTAGGGGCAGCAATAAAGAGGAAGAAGCGTGCTGGGGATGGAAATGGGAAATGAATGCGAGTAAAATAAAACTAAATGGAGAGAAAGAAAAGAGAGAGACATCTTGTTTTAGGTGTTCTAAAAAAGGGTCGATGTTCATTAGACAAGGAGCCCCTACCAGGCTACTCTTTCATTAAACAATCTTCACTTCTGTGCTTTTCAGCAGAAATGTCTACAGCCGTTTGCTCAGTTGCCCGTCTGTTTTTTTCAATATTTTCTATTTCTACTTGATTTCTTAGCAAATGTATGAAGACAGGTAAACGTCTTTGTGGGCATATGTTCAGTATGATCTAGTGCAAATCTCTCATTGTGTATTATTTAACTGTGAACATATTTGAATAAAACATGTTAAATTTTAAACAAAAATGTGATACAAGAGAAATACTTACTGGAATGTGAATGGCTTTGCAAAAAACAAAAAAGAAAGGACAATTGTCATTGCTTTTCTTCCAGTTGTAACTGAAGGAAAGAAAAACACAGAAGGACTTTATATATTCATTCCAATCCAATTAAAATACAACTTCTCAAAGAAAGCTGTGGAAAATATTAATATGAAGCTTCTTCAATCTTGTATTGCTTGATTTCAATTGCCATAGGCTCCAACCTGTCTGTCCAACACACATTCTTACTGAAAATTGCTGTAGTGTTTAAGCTTAAAACAGTTAGAAGTTAGATCAAGGAAAGGCAGTGTCTTAAAAGTAAGTGATTATAACTGGTTATTAAAGAGAAAGCTTTCATCTCAGAATGAAACTTATTAATGGTGACAAGCAATTTCATTAATTGGTAGAAGATAGGTGATTAAGGCTATCTAACACATACTGTAGTATACTAGTTACAGTAGTTATTAGCTTATGGCAACCTCTTTAGGTATTAGAATAGTCAAATATCACAGAGCATTTATAGTGGAATTCCCCTGTAGGCACAATATCAGACAATTATGTTGCTAAGAAAGCTTGTCAGCTGTCTGATTCAGTATAATTTCGTAGTTGTAGGACCTCTTATCAACCCTTCAACACTCTTGTGATCTTATTCTGCCACAATGTCTTCCTATGAAATATTACGCAGCAGTAACAGAACTTATTTGCCCCCGTCACCACCACCCCAAAGGGCTTCTTTATGGTCATGGTAATTTTAAGAGTGAAAAATGGAGATACAAGGAGGAAAAGTGGTTTAATTACATTCACCTACTGGCAAATTTGGTTGACAACCGAGCAGCCTTATTTTGGGTGCCATCTCAGTGGCTGTTACCGGTCAAGCTGAGACTTAGTTTGCAGCTATTGAGACAGTCAATGCCAGGGGTAGGCAACCTTGGCTCTTTTATGACTCATGGACTTCAACTCCCAGAATTCCTGAGCCAGCATGGCTCAGCTTGGAAACTCTCCCTTTCCCCTCAGCATGGCTGGCTCAGGAATTTTGGGAGTTGAAGTCCACAAGTCATAAAAGAGCCAAGGTTGCCTACCTCTGGTCTATGCTAAACAAAAGAAGCAGTAATACATAGCATCGCCTCAGTTGTCACTTAAATCCAAATATGGAAGCAAGTGTAAGGTTGAAGTTAGTCAATGCCTTTGGACAAGGCTGGAGAATAAGTCAAGCTCCTTCTGCAGCTTTTTGTTCTTGTCTTTTAAATTTTAATGACTATGTTTGGTTTTTTCAGCTGAATTATTTTACAACTGATTGAGAATATTTTTTTGTGGTGAATATCACCTGTTTTAACCCCTTGGAAGATTTCTGGGTCAGTTTTCATTGTAACCCTATTAAAGATTTTTTTTAAAAAAAAGTCGGATAAAAACGTATTTCTAAACAGCTAAATGCATAATTTATATATATTAATGATTATTCTTTTCCATAGCTCATTATGGAATTTCATGAACCTCTTATATGAATTTGAATTTACGCCAATTTCTTTCCAATGATATCTATATCAAAATGAAAACATTACATGCTTTTTAATTTGCACTCTCACCACCTGAATTTAAACAAACAAAAAAAAAATCCAGAATAAATGAATAGGCATCAGAACAAACATAGAGCGCTTTGTAGTTGTAGTAGAAGACCTTCATCAACCTACTTCAAACATCTAGAAATTACACAGTTTACAAATTTCATCCAAACATGGCATCTGATTCAATTCTCCTGTAAATGTATAAACTCAAGAATACCTGTTACAGCTAAAAGAGCCCCAAAGATTTTAATCAAAGCCAGGACAAAAGAGATTCCAAAATAGCCAGTCAAGGAGAATAAGAATGCATAGCCGTATGTTTGAACTGGGCGCTGCAAGAACAATAACAACATTATTAGTAAAATGCTAAACAAACCCTGAGGTATTGCAAAATGAAATAAATGTCTTTAATATGCTGCCTGAACTAAAGTAAAAGTGCTTAAAGCTTTCAAAGTTTGTATTTAATTTTTGATGAATAATGGATAAAGCAATAATTAAATTATAAACATTCCTTGACATTTCAAAGAATACGAAGTAATTCTGATGAGGGTGATTACATATAAGCGTTTTCAAGCTTTGTTGTATTACTGTACAATGCTAGATGTATCTACTGAGAAATAATTCCCAGTTTGGTTGAAGGGGACTATCTTTCAGCCTTAATGAATAATACAATTTATTTTTCTTATTTTATATTTATAAACAGCACAAATAGAAAAAAAAATTAAACAGTTCATCCAACAAGTTCCCCAACAGCACATAAATGCAAAGTTTACATTTTAAAATAATGAAAATTGTAATAGAATCAACACATTTACCTTTGAACAAAATGTTACTGCAGGAGTTAGGCCAGCAGTGCATGTCAGTCCCAATAAAATGTACAGGAAACCTATTGAATAGGAATACAAAACCTAGAATAATTACAAAAACAAATTATTTAAACTTCTGTTATTTCAAATATGTCACAAATTTGCTCTGTGGATCTGCAAACATTCCCTTAGTAATGCAATATACTTTTTTATATATTTTTCAAATTGGATGAAGGAAAATTCTAACACAATTAGGGTGTCTATTTCTAAATAATTTGAATTTGACTCACAATTAGTTTTAAGTAATCTGCATTTCACATAACTAACTTATATTTTGCAGTCAACAAATTAAATAAATAAGATAATCCCTGGGAAAATTATGCAATGGTGTCATGCATTGCCCTAGACAACCAGTTTAGTTTAAGAGCCTTAGGCACCAGGCTAGAAACCAGGAGATTGAGAGTTATAGTCCTGCCTTAAGCGTGAGTACCAGATGACTTTGCGCCACTCACTTTACTCCGCCCACAGTATCAAGCGCAGGTGACAAGTGTAGCAGGCAACACCTGTCTTAATGAATGGATCAACATTTGGTTAATCTCCAAAAAGTGGGCCCTGCACTCATAGGAAAAATGCATGGAAGAAAAAAAGAGATATGTATTGTATTAATTTTCAAAAATTAAAACGTTTTGGTACTAGAGAAAATTTTCCGGTTCGGTTCTGAAAAATAATAAACCATTGCTTTTAACTGACTTACACTTTACTTTAGTCCAACATTTTCACTAAAACAGAAGACTGGCTATATCCTAAGATGCTATTTTGATACAAAAAGTAGCATTGAGGCATTTCATCCTTTACTGGTATTGTATTATATTCCTGTGCGCTGGCTGCCATTTTTCTCCTGAAACAGCTAATTTGTGAACACGCATTATTATTTATTTTCAGACAAAAAGTCCAGGAGCAAAAGTTTAAACTATGGCTATTCCATGGATAATACAATTTGGCTCTCACTTCAGTATACTGGTGAAGAACTGTGATTTGTAATCCTTGCTGTACACAGTACATTATGGGGAATCAAAGTTAGAAATGTTTAAGACCCATTGATTTCAGTGAAATACATTCTTAAATCTCCATCAAATCAATGGGTCATTATATCTTAATCAAGGCCTACTGTTTTCGGTAGTACATTAATAAAATGCACTATTCTCTCCTTCTATTAAAGGGCATATTGTTTTTATTCCAGAGACAGAACATCAGAAAACTGAGAGGTGCCCCTGACTAAATACATTAAAAAGATCCTGACATTACTGAATATCTAATATATATTAAAATATTGTCCAAACATTTTATGTGGAAGAGTAATGTTAATTTTAACTTAGTGATAAGACAGAAATGGTTGAGAAACTGAATTAGAATTTTGTACAAAAGTTATTTTTAACTAGCCTGACCATATTTTGAACAGACAGCTCTAGTTCCATAATCTGGATATCAGGGATCAAAAGGTCCAATAAAAGATACTGAAATTGAGCTGTGCTAATGTGACTAATGCTTCAGTACTATTTACAAATATGTAACATTTAATATTACAGTCTGGCGAATTATAATTATTAGGGACTGTAGTCAATTATCAAACATCTTGAGACAATTTGAATGTTTAAAACAGATTCTTCCTTTTTTCTGTTTACCAGATTTATAAATAAAGAAAACAGATTTAAAAACAGCACTCCAATATATCAATCTATGTCAGCTATTGAGAGCTATTGCTACATTTAACGGAGTAATTGTTAAAACAAGTCTGTAGTGGCAGCCTTCTTTCTAACTGAAGGATAATAACAAAGAGGCTAATGAATGCATAACATACTATGAATATACATAATCCATCTGGAACAGCTGAATATTTGAAAAACTGTTTTGATACATTTTTTTAAACAAAAGATTTTTTTAATCGTTCTTTTAGATCAGAGTAACAGAATATAAACTATATAACCAGTAATATCTCTTCTAATATTTTTACATCTGAATTTTTAACATGATTTCAAACAAAAGAGCTACATTTCAATTCTATATTTCTCAATCAATTAAAAGACATTACAAAAAAATGAGGATTTACCATTTCAGAATTTGAACCACTGTGCAACTTCATTGCTTTTTCCTGCACATTTCCTATAACTGCATCTGCGCAGAGGGCAAGGGATATAAGGACCACTCCTTCAAATAATCAGAAAAATAAAAACAGGTATAATGTAAATATACTTAAACAATAGACATACATAGCCAACAATTACAATTTTAAAAGATATATTTATTTATGAAAATGTCTAGCATATAACAGCTTTGTAATAATAAGCAAATCTGACAGTCCAATCACAGAGATTAATATTCACGTCAAAAATATACTCTGTTCTCAGCTGTGGGGGGAAAGAAGATCATTAAGCTAATACTAAAAGATTTCAAAGTAGTCAATTATGAATTGGTTGGAGACTTAGTAAAAACTTTAAGGAAAAATAGGAAATTAGTTTGTCTGTTTAGCATGAAATAGTGATATTTCAGAGTTTTCTTTTGAATAAATTTATAGACGTTTCTAAAATTTTGTTTTCACTTTGTCATTATGGGATACTGAGGGCAGATTAATGAGAAATGTTTTTTCAACAACTGTAGAATACAGGCTGCAGCATAACAAAATTGAATACTTTCTGAATACTTTCTGAATCCACTATAAATGTTTAAATTCAAATACCAAGTTAATGAAACAGGGAAGTAATATGATATCCAAAGCTTAGTATTTGAATTGTGTGTAGTTCAAGCTTTCCAACTATGCCCTCAATTTTAAGGCGACACAGTCATCTGATGCAGGGTATGTGTGTGCGCACGTGCATGCAGCATTAAGTTTTATGATGGCCAGAAATGTCCTGCGGGTTGTAAGGCACCCTTTCCCAAGTGTTGTAATTCTGTATATAAATGACTGTTTCTAAACTGAAATATTTCCTGGACCAGTATCAAGTTAACTAGACCTCAATAAACAAGAGTCCCTGTTTTGTGTAACTATTCATGTCCCTACAGGAATTCAAGCAGAAGAGTCTGAATTCAACCAGTCAATAGTTTCACTTTATCTATATGTTCACTTTTGTAATCAGCATGTATTTCCAAGTTTAAAAAAAGAATAAAATTCCAAAACATAAAAGTTACCTGTCAAATTGAAATTTGGTGCAATTGTGCTATCAGCTAGAGTAAACCATATTAAGCCCAAGCTCATACATACTGCAGCAGAAACATCTACAATATTGTAACGTTTCCCTGTATTGTTAAAATAAAAAAAAAAGGGGGGGGGGAGAGAAGAAACAATGTTGATATTATCTCAGGCAGAGTACTTTAGCCCATTCATATGATGCTACATTAATATTCTTTTTATGTGGGCTATTTCCACACTGCATAATATTCTTTTTCGCTCTCTGTGTATACATACATACATACATACGTACATACATACATACAGTACAGTAGTTATCAGTAAGATAGCCATATATTATATATTTACAGTAAAAAGAACAGTTAATTTTGTGGCATTTAAAAACCCATTCATTTATTGTCATATATATATTTCAAAATGTTTTGCAGTAATGGGGTATTCTTGTATATAATGACAAAAACAGGTGAAACACTTTTTTTTTTTTTTTTTTGCAAACTGGTGCAGCTCTTTTCCGGGACTGTACTGTTACCTTTTCTTTCCACACTGTTTTGTTATTACATATATATGTATCTATACTGATGTGAGGAGCAAAGCTGAAGTACTCACTATGGCATTAAAGTAACACATGAAGCAGTCCTTTTGTGTCAACATCCTGACACAATATCACAACAGAGGGCTTATGTGCATTCTCTGCCTGGCTTATACTGCCATTTGCATGCCGTCTAAATCCTTCTATCATAAGCATGTTTAAATGGTACACTTCATCACGTTTTGAGCCGTTTCAGGTATTTGCAAAAGACATTAAGTCTGAAATTTGCAATTTAAACAGTAAAGAGAACTTCAGCCTTGAAATCATTTTAACATTTGACTTCAAATTTAATTGTTATCACTTAATCCACCTATTACTGTTCTGTGGTTAATCCAGCTAAATAACTTTACTGCAGTCAAATTTCAGAAGCAGAACTAGCTGCTTAAAAAAAATATCTAAGAATGGAGTTCAAAGGCAGTTTTTGCAGTTTTCCACACATAATAATTTCCACAAAAAATATACCAGTTTTCTTCCCATAGATTATTATAGTGAAGCAAAATGGGGGGGGGGAACACTAGACTTGGAGAATTTTATTAATAGGGGATATTATACTTTTGTGCTTTTCTCCCCTGTATACTTTTGTGCTTGTCTCCCCTGTGCAAGAGTTCTCAAATGATTCATAAGTGTTCTACTTTGTCCTCCTCATAGTTATAATCAGTTAATTAACTATGTACTATCACTGAAATAGCTCATAAGTGGCATGATCAACAAGTACACAAAAGGGTTAGGAACACAGTGATGTGTTCTGAGATTACTGAAGAAGAAAACGAACAATTCTTTTCTTGTATTTCACAACATACTTTGGATGTTCATATACTGTATGTATGAGTGATGGAATTTTGAATTAATCCAAAGCACTTAATGTTATTATTTATATTCTCTCTCTATTTTAGGCAGGCTAAACCAAAAGCAGATAAGATAATTCTTATAACAAGGCAGTTTCAAATATTTTACCAATCTTATATTAAAAATTATCTCAACAGCCTACAGGTAGCAGAAAATAGTTTGCAATTCTTGCTAGCAACAAGATATGCAAGATGTATAAAAGTTCTTTGGAGAGCATAAGTGGATTTGAAGCCTTGTTTCTGATTTTGTTTTCATGCACATTTGCTATTGATCAAAATTAAGTCCTCTAGATTTTTTTTTAGTGGAGGTTGGAGAGGGGGAAGGAGAAACCAATATAGGGGCTTTACAAGGTTATTTTTTGAAATGAAGAGCAATCAATAGCAAGAATAAGCCATACCTTGTATAAAGATTCCTCCTATCATAACTGGGATCAGTTTACAGCACTTGAAGATTACTTGTGTAGGATAATTCAGATATCCTAAGGAGGTATTTGATAAACCCATAGTCCCCACTGTTAGAAAAGCTATTATCATGTAGGTTTTGCCTGGGATCCTGGAAAATATAAATGAAGCTCTAATATTGGGAACAAATGGCAACACTATAGAGAAGATTAATTATTTTGCTAAGTAAAAAGTATGAATGAAGTGGGTGGCTTTTTTTTTTTTTGCAAAGCATGGTATATATACAGATGTTGAAATCTGAATTTTATTAAACATTAAGCCAGAACATATTTAACTACTCAACGTAAAGCCTCTGTTTTACTATTACAATTGCGCTCAATTTTTTTCTTTTTGTAAAAAAAGAACTTATACAGTCTTTATGCTTTGTCCCACATTATTGTCCCACATGGTGAAAAAAAAAAGAATATGGTCTCAATAGCAATGATTGTTTCATTTTTATAGTAATCAATAGGATAATTCTCAAACAGCTGTGCTGACAATTTCGCCCTTTGATTTCCCATAAAAAAGCCCGATATAAAATCTACCCCATGAATTCCGCAGTTGCTTTGAGTGCATTTCATTGGTAGAAAGATGGAATAAAAGTCCAATGGCTGAACAGACAGTTCTTTCACATTTAGGAATTTAGATTTTATTTTAAATTTAGATTTAGAATTCCTTGACAGAATTACAGTCGTAAGTTGTAAAAGTCATAAATTGAGACACCCTCATGACCGGAAATAATATTCTGGCCTTTTTTGTGGCAGCCATTAAGTGACTACACTATTGTTAAGCAAATGCATGATTGAAGTAAAACAGTTCAACTGAATAGGATTTTTTTTCTGGAAACTGGCAATTTTTTTTTTGTGAATTGCAATCACATGACTGCAGTACACCGTAATGAACTATAAAACTGATTAATCTGATAGGCAATTACATGGGGGACAGCATGACCATTTATGACAGCCAGGGATGTTTTATGGGTCACAAAGCACTTGTTTGTGGCCATTATAACCTTGAACAATTATAAAACGATTGTTTAGCGAGGACTACTTGTACATTACAGTCTAGCACAGGGGTAGGCAACCTTGGCTCTTTTATGACTCGTGGACTTCAACTCCCAGAATTCCTGAGCTAGCCAAGCTGACTCAGGAATTCTGGGAATTGAAGTCCACGAGTCATAAAAGAGCCAAGGTTGCCTACCCCTGGTCTAGGAAGAAGTTGCTCTCCTAGTCTACTTTATGCATGGAAGCCACTCAGGTCACTGGATTCCAGATGTTAAGAAGCATTTTCACTGTATGCTAAGCCAATTAAAAAATTCTTTTAAAAGTTTTAAATATCTTTTATTTCATATATTTTATGTGTAGAAGTGCTATATATAAACTAACGAAATATAGGTTTCCTTTTAATTAAAGGTTAAATGTGAAAGTTATGCATGTTGCTGAAAAATATTTTATTAATTGTACTTCTGCACTAATTTTTGATATGAGGATCCAAAAATTACGTTTATATATAAATATTTTACATTTTAAAATGGAATGGGGGAAAAATTTATATTTAAAAGTCACTCATATTCTGAAAATTCATCAGTTCCAGACAGTTTCATAAGTTAACATGTAATTTTCTGAAGAATATTATCCTGAGTTGTCTCTATAGTTTTCTTTATTTTACAAACTGGAGCTAAATTTTTGCATAAGTCTTGTCCACCTAGTAAAACTACTTATAAAAATCAAGCTTTGAAGAATCAAAATTTAAGATTATAAAAATAAATATCATACCTTCTCCTCTTGTCTTGAATAAGCTGTAGTTCTATAAGTCCAAAAATGGAATAAAACCCAAATTGTACTAATGTGAGATACCAGCCAAAGGATTTAAAACCTTCTACTGAAAATATTAGTTCCTAGAGAGAAAGGAAACAGAAAGTTATTGCAAAATATGGCATGTAATCATATTATATGAGTTGTAATATCAACTTTCAATTTAATTTTGGATGAGAAATTTGTTGTCTTTATCAGGTATAATCCATGGCATTATTATATCAATGGCTACATAGAACTGATTAACTTATAAATTAATTTGGGAATAATTAATGTACTTAATAGTTGAACATCATCAATATGTATAATACAAGCATCAATATTAGCATAAATAGAAGACATGAAAAAAGTCCTCCCCTCCAAATATGTCTGATTTAGCTATTATATATCAACCAATTACCTTTTGAAACCATATGTCTTCCCACATTATAATGAAGTGGTTTGTTTATCTCCGATTTAGGATGATGCACAAATGAATCAGTGAACGAGCCATGGTTTATTTTAGAAAAATAAGCCCATGTTTCGTCAATAATTGACTGCACATCATACTAATTGCAGTTAGCAGTCACTTGACTTGCCTCCCATACAAGCCCTGAGCCTGCTACCAGTGCAAGGCACAAACAACTCCAAAAGCAAGCAAAACATGGGAATGTTGCTTATAAGAAAGGTTGATTGTGGCAGAATATTTTTGTTCAGTATGATATACAAACTCACTCATTATGGTTTAGCGTATTGTAGAAAGCAAGCCATTGTTGCATAGCCAACAAAAAAATGTAAAAAAACCCCTGCTTTAATATTATTCAGAACAGCTGCATTTTATTGCAATTTTATTTTCAAATCTTTGCATAATATTTGCTAATTTTACTGCAGCTGCACATTCATTTCTTGTTTTCACTGAGCTGTTCACATCTAGTTCAAACTTCCATCAATAACTATGTGAAACTGGTATAAAATGCTCCAATGGGTACTATATAACTTTCATAAAATGCTCAATAAGCATTTTGTTGCTAGTTCACCAAAATATAAAAGTCATTTCTATTGAAGTTTAAATTCCAATTGGTGCTAATTTTTTTTAATGCAGAAGATGGAAATTAATCCACACAATGGAGATTCAGGGCCTTCTCTTACATCAATATTGCTGCTAGCAATACGGAATTTAGTCATTATCATGTTCATCAGGACTGAAGCCTTAAAATTATGTGTGTCTTCTTTGAGTAATATGATTCTGAGTAAGAAAAATCAAATGCCTAGGTACAATACTGTGAGACTTGGCTTAGAAGCAGTATATGCAGGAAGCATCTGGGGGCCTAGCTAGCTAGCTAGGTAACTACCTGGTATAAATTATCACTGCAAAGGATTGTTTTGTATGAACAGGCATGGTTTTGTAGCAGCTAAATAGATCCAAGGAATCTTGGGTTATATCACAAAAACCTTGTATTCAGATAAAGGAGATAAAATTCCATAGTACTCTGCCATAGTTAGACTGCACTTGGAAAACTGCCCCCAGTTCTAGATAAAGACTTAGTGAGCCTGGATTGGATTTGAAGGAAAACTACCAGAGTCCAAAAACCAAGCCTTACAAAGAATGGTTAAAGATTTGGGGCATATTTTCGTTTACAAAAGTTAAGGCTGAATAGACATCTCTAAAATGATATATTGCGCAAGAGTGGGCAAAAAACCAGGAGAGGACGAGGATTAATAGATGAAATTAAAAGAAAAACGATTTCAACTGAAGCTTAGAAGGAATTTCCTGACAGGAATAACTAATGGAATAGTGCTAACCAATGGAACAGTATTCTCAGAATAGCGGTAGACTCCTTGGTGGTGGTTTTCAAATGGGAACTGTATGTGTGACCAGTCAGTGATCATTTGGTCACTCAGTAGAGTTCTTGAATCATATCTTCTTTCATTATTCTCTTTATAGGGAACCTCAAACTATTTTTATCCACTCATCCTGAAGAAATTCCCTGGCAGAAAGCACAATTTTTACTTGTTGCTTCTCCTATAGGTCCATTATTCAGATATATTTTTCTGGTTTGCCTTATTTTGCATGGGCAAACAATCTGTACGTGGACAATCTGTCTTTTCTCTTATGTGAAAAATTGTATGAATGGGACTAGATAACCAACAGTTCCCATTTAAAATATACACTATGATTGAAATGTGTCTGAATATTAGTAGCTCGGGTTGGTAGTTGGGCTCTTGGTTTGAGCTCTGAGTTTGGCAATTTGCAAACGTTTCATCACCATTTGAGGAGATATTGCCAGGGCACTTTGAATTAAGCTCGTCTGTCCAAACTATGTGGGCCAAACAGGAAAAAAGCTATCAACCAGACTGCCATCAAGAGACATGACCCACTATCCCGCATGTCTGACTATGAAGACTCAGAAGGACACAAATTCGATCTAACCAGGATCACAGTTGTAGCCCAGAGGAAATCAAGGAGAGAAAGAGAATTTCTCGAAGCCTGGTTTTCCACCAAGTCAATACAGATAGTCCTTGAGTTTATGAAGCCTGCCCAGTCAACTCATAACTCGAAAACTCATAGAGTGAATCTCATACCTTGAACAAGATCACTCCCTTGCTCAATCCGGGCTCCAAAGGCCTTTTCCAAGCCACTGCCGCCTAGATCTGAGGCCAGAGAACGGTTCTGCGGCCCACCGGATGCCTCATCTGGGCGTCGGAGATCTTTTTCAGGCTGCTGCTGCCCGGATCTAAGGCCTGGGAATGCTTCTATGCCCCTCCACAGCCCGATCCGTGCTCTGGAGGCCTTTTTCAGGCTGCTGCCACCCAGAAATGGGCCACCAGAGAGCTACGTAAGCGTCCCCCGGCCTCAGATCTGGGCAGCAGTGGCCTGGAAAAGGCCTCCAAAACCCGGATCAGGTATTCGGTGGGCCGCAGATGCATTCCCCAGCCTCAGATCCAAGTGGCAGCGGCCTTGAAAAGGCTTCCAATGCCCCGATCAGGCCTCTATAGGAATGTGGAAGCATCCCCCAGCTTTGGTTTTGTTCTCTGTTGCAGAGAACAGAGGCCTAAAGTACCATGAGATCATGTGAGATCTTACATTACTTTAGGCCTCCATTCTCTGCGAAAGCATCGAAGGCCTGGAGCAGCCAAGAAAGCGAAGGATCTCAATTTTTGCAGGGAGAGTATTGAAGGCCTGGTGCCTAGAGAGAGGGAGGGAGGGAATAACCGGAGTGAATGTTGCAGAGCCACTGCGGTCACTCGTAAGGGCGAAGATTGCCGTTGTGCTGCAATATTTGTAATTTTGGGACTTACTTGTAAGCACTAGGGGATGCTCATCATGTAACTTTGAATGAATGTTAAATGAACACTCATAATTTTGGGAACTACCTGTATTAACAGACACACAGACATCAATCCTGTCTACCAACCGCTGAGAACTAAAGAACTACTTCAACCACGATCCCAAAGGTAGCATTTAAAAACAAATAGGCACCTCATCACGCAGCAATAAAAATCATAACCCTCCACAAGAAATCGGACCATATCTCAGCAACAACGCCTAGCCAACCAAACAATCCGAAATCAGACCATGGCTCAGAAGCACCCGAACAAACAACACTAATGCCATGCATCACAGATGGTACTTAACACAAAAGACCATGGCCTGGCAACAACCACTAGCCAGTCAAACAGTCCAAAACCAGACCATGACTCAGAAATATCCGAACAAATAACGTTCATACCAATTTAAAGGCAGTGTTCGAACAGACGAGCATAATTCAAAGCGCATTGACAATGTTTCCTCGAATGGTGACGAAACGTTTGCAATCAAATTGCCAAGCTTGGAGCTCAAACCAACAGCCCATACATTATGATTATAAACATTATGAAGTGAACATACATTATGATTGTATGTTCACTTCAAACTGACACTTCAGATTCCAGACGACAACTCCCTTGAATACTATTCCATTAAAAAAAAAAAAATCCCAGCAGCTAGGACTAGTACTAGCAAGGTAGGAAGAAAATGCAGAACCCTTTTTTCTTGACATCTAATTTTGTTTTTCTAAGAAACCTTTCTCACTGCATGTTCATAGGATCCATAACTGCATAGCCCAGGGGTAGGCAACCTTGGCTCTTTTATGACTTGTGGACTTCAACTCACAGAATTCCAGAGTCAGCATGGCTGGCTCAGGAATTCTGGGTATTGAAGTCCACAAGTCAACGAGCCAAGGTTGCCTACCCCTGGCATAACCCAAAGTTTCACCTAACAAATAATGCTTAAAACTACTTAGCTTTAGCATAACTATTAGCTATTTTACTTATATTCTTCTTCTCAGCAATTTTCAAGGTGCTAGATGGATTATATAATAAATTACATTTCAGAAAATAATAAAACCAATGAAAAATCATATTTACAAAACACGTATTTTCCAGGTTTATATTTTAGATATTCAAGGATGTTATTAAAGATGTAATGATTCTTTAGATCACCACAAAAATTTAAATTCTTGCTAATTCCTGTTTAATAAACTAACTTAATGCTAAGTTGAATAAAAGTTTCTAATAGTAATGTCTACCTGAAATATTTCAATGGATTCTGAACCTTGCAAAACTTTTAAGAAAGTTCATTAATGAGGGGGCATTCCCACTTTCCTTCAAATGTGCAAATATGTATTTATCTTTATAGGAATAGAATTTCCTCCTATTTTAATAAAGTTTATAGCTGTATCAAAATTGCTATAAGTCATGAAAATTGTTTTCTGGCAATTTGTTTACACTCACATACAAAGAATGATAGTGCATACCTGCAAATATCCATAAATAAGATAAAACAGGAAGACTCCCAAAACACAAATAAAAAACTGTGTAGGTTTGTTAAATTTGCTGAGATTAATTCCAAGGACAATTATATCATCTATTGATTTGATGTGTGGTGACATAACTTGGGATTTTGATGGTATGCTGATAGAAACATATTTCCGAGAGGAATTGAATTTCATATCCATGATTTCTAGTCTTCTGCATTCGGTAGTTAAAAGTCCTGTTTGGTTGCAAGCTGAAACAAATAAGATTAAATTTAATCATAGCAACACTTAAGGGAGCACCTTATATATTCATTATGTCATTTAGTTGTAATTTGTTTCACTCAGACTCTCTAAGGCGATTTTAAAAATTTCAATAGTTATGGAAATCATTATTTGGTATAAATTTTATTAAATCTTTTACAGAAAAAATAAAAACTAACACAAATACAGAATGAAGAAAAAGGTTGCCACAAAGAAGAGGGAGTCAAGCTATTCTCCAAAGCACCTGAAGGCAGGACAAGAAGCAATGGGTGGAAACTAATCAAGGAGAGAACCAACCTAGAACCAAGGAGAAATGTCCTAACAATTAGAACAATGAATCAGTGGAACAAATTGCCTCCAGAAGTGGTGAATGCTCCAACAATGGAAGTTTTTAAGAAGAGATTGGACAACCATTTGCCTGAACAGGGGGTTGGACTAGAAGACCTCCAAGATCCCTTCCAACTCTGTTATTCTATTCTATTCTAAAAAAGAAATAAAAAAGACAAAAGGAAAGCACAGAAAGAAAAGATTAAAAAGAAATAGAAAGAAGAAGCAGCTTCCGATTAGTTAGATTTTATGGTTTTGAGCATAGTTTGAGATAAAATTATCTACTAATTATGATCATGGTATTGCTAAAATGTGTAAAATTTTGTTGATATATGAGACAGAAGAAGAACAAAAATGAAAGAATGTATGATTAAAATGGGGTAAACACTTTGATTGTAATATACAAATAGCTCAATGGCAAAATATGTGGTGGAAAGGATTAAAATTCACTTCATGTTCTAGACCTAAACAGAATGTTTTGTTGGTATAGATTGCCAGAGAAATTGTTTAGAATATGTAAATGCACTCTGAAACTTTGCTGAAAATGTGAAAACATGTAGAGAGATTTTACTGTGTTTAATGGGCATGCAAAAAGCTAAAAGATTGATCCAGAAGATTTTAAAGGTTAAAGAATAAAAAGAGACCTTTTTTGGGGGGGGGGGGTAGGGGAAGACTAATGGACAGATAACTGGAAAAAAGTATATAAAAAACTTTATTATATGTAACTGCTGTGAAACTATTCTATGTTCCAAAATGGAAATGTTCAACATTACCCATAACAGAGGAAGGATTAGTGAAGATGATGGAACTTGCAGAAATGGTTAATCGTTTTGATTAGACAAAAACAACATCTGTGTTTATGGCTGATTGGAAAACCCTTATACACTTTTGCATGATATAGAAAAAAAATACACTCATGATTTGTGGTTTTATTAGAAAAAACTGGATATAGAAAAAAGTGAGCTATTTTTTGTAATTTTATAGCAGGGATCAATATTGTAATTGTACTTTTTTTGCTGAGAAAGAAATCAGAAGAGTAATCTATTTTTTCATTTTCTGCATTTATTAATAGATATTAAATATTATATTTATTAAATAATAAAATTTAAATAAATATTAAATTTAATATATTTATTTATTTTTCACATTTGTGAACCACCCATCTCCCTCAGAGGGACTCTCTTTCTTTCTTTCTTTCTTTCTTTCTTTCTTTCTTTCTTTCTTTCTTTCTTTCTTTCTTTCTTTCTTTCTTTCTTTCTTTCTTTCTTTCTTTCATTATCTTTTATTAGTCTTTGTTAGTTTTTCTGTTACGTGTAAAACTTTAAAAAAATATTTTAAAAAGACATTTTCATTACTTACTGTGTGGTATGGAAAGCAGCCAATCATACTTTACTCTCGCAAAATAGGCAACCTTTTGGTTGACCAAAATATGGATTATTTGGGTGTTAGAGGGGAAGAGTGCTACACATGGCAAGGCAATACAAAGTGGGTAAATTAGGGATCTTTGGGACTTTTTTGGGGGGGGGGTTGGGCAGGATACGTTTAAACCAGATTAACTTTATTTCAGGTCTTACATTGGGGGCCAACAGCACAGCCTATTTAGCAGATCTAGTAAAAATCTTGTGCCATATAAACCAAGAACAAGAAGTTTGGGTGGCATTGCTGAAATATTATGAGATGTGAAATTTTAGTCACTTTTCATGATTCCTGTCCTATACTATATTTTTAAAGTATAGTTTAATATTGTTTTTATGTATTTCCTATCTAGTGTCAATTGTAGCCAGAGGGAGTTGGAGGAATTCCATGAAGGTTGCTCAAGAACTGCTGATTGTCTATCCCAACCTAGAATGATGGGCGAACAGGGTCTCCATATGCTATGTATAAAAATTATCTTCACTTAATCACAATATCCTTATTTATAAATCTAAAATTAAATGCTTAATTCAGTCTAATTTACCAAAGAGATATTTAAGTATTACTGCATTTTATGCTTCTGGGAAACTGATTTGCAAGCGTCTGATTGCTCTCGAGGCAGATAAATAGGATAAACTATGCAAGAGAAACAAAAAAACAACAATTACCAGAAACCTAACTAGACATCAATTAAACCCAGTTTCAAACATTTAATATGGAATTGATAACTTAATTCCCTGCCACCCCTTAGTTCCCACGTTCTTGCAGGCCAAAAATACTTTTTAGCCAAAAGCTTCCTAAATGTTCCTATTAGCAATTCAGTTAACAGGGAGCTAGGAAATAATTTTTATTTGCCTGGATGTAATAGCAAATATTTCTTTAGTCTGTTAGCAAGTTTCTACTATGGTATCAATTTCTGTTAACTGGGCTTTATTTAATTGTTAGCATACATTTACCTAAAGAAACTTTTCCTTAATAAATAGCAATTCTTCCCAAATAGTTTATATATGTAATTATACATCAGTTGGCTGCTATTGCCAATTAAAGGAAGAACATTTTTGGGCAGCTTTGCGCTGTAAGGAGACTCATACAAAATGCTATAAATGTAATTAATACTAATTCTGTCAGGTTTTTTTTCCTGTGCTTTCCCTTTTTCTATTTTTTTTTAAGTATTTCCCTAGCAAATTATACCTTCTGTTCAGATTTTTGCTGAACATGTTTTTCTAATGTTCCATAATGAATTCTTTTCTTAGCAAGTTGTGTAATTAATATCCACAAATTAATGCACCTCAATGAAAGACCACATGTTTTAGCTAGTCTTTTTAATGCTTTTCAAAAAATATATTTTCTTTAAAAACCTGGTGTCAAAAAAAAAACTAAACATGAGACAAATTGAGCAGGACTCTACAGGTAATGTCCAGATGTTACAACTTTGAATAGCCCTAGCATCTAATGATGAAGAATCCTGGAAACATCCTTGTCCACAGAAGGGGGAGGGGAGGTGACAAGTAGAAAATATCTCACTTTCTCTCTCTCTTATAGCTGCCCATCTCACAAGCAATTCTGGGAGGCATACAACAAGACTATAAGAGTATGTAAAATAATTATCAATAACAAAAAATAAAACACTTAAAATATATAAAGAGTTAAAACAAAATAGGCAAAGGGATCTAATAGTAATGGAGCTATCTCATCAGTTCTCCCTTTCCCTGAGGTCCCTAGGTCAGTGATGACGAACCTTTTAGAGACCGAGTGCTCAAACTGCAATCCAAAACCCACTTATGCATCGTCGGGTGCCGGGTGAGTGTGGCCCATTGGGTGGGCGTGGCTGCAGTGGTAACAGCAGACTGGGTGGGACTAAAAAGTTCAATCAATCAATTCCAACTTTGCAAGATCTTTTTTTCCCCGTGAGAAGTTTAAATTGACTGATTGATTAAACCTTTTTTTTTGTACACGGCAGCTGAGGCCTAAAGCGAAAAGGTTTCATAAAACCCAGCTGAAAGCCTAGGACTGGGCGATGGTGCACGTGCCCACAGAGAGGGCTCTGAGTGCCGCCTGTGGCACTTGTGCCATAGGTTCGCCATCACTTCCCTAGGCCTTCTGACATAACAGGTCTTAAGAGACCTGTGGGAGCCTAGAAGCAATGTATCATGAAGTTGTGACATGATTCATCACTTTGGCATCAGAGGGACTAACTTGGAATGTCTTTGGCTAGAAGCTGTAGTTCAACAATAGCTGGAAGGCTATAGCTTCCCTAATAGAGAAATTCAAGTAATTGTCTTGTTTCTTATTTATTTATACAATATGCATATATGTATATACATATGTACATGTATATGTAGAGTCATTCCTAGCATTGCATTTAAAAATGGTGAATTTTGTCTACATTTTGTAATTCTATAGAAAGAAGAGATTCATTGTTACTGATGCCACATGAACACATCTGTTACTATATAGAAAAAAAAAATGTTTGGAACAACTTTTTATCCTGTAAAGCCTGACTCCAATCCATTATCTTACCCTATGGCAGAATTCTTACAGAAGCTTCCACACATTTGTACTTCATGTTAACTCTTGAGAAAAAAAATCTTGAAATGATGTTATATAAAATGCATAATGTGCAATGTGAAAATGCATCTGGTTTAACACAATTAATCTGTGGGGTCCTTGGTCCTCCCTGAGATTGGTTGTTTTCTTGCAGACATTTCATTATGAAACTAGGTAACAGCACTTAGAAGGGTGTGGGTTATAAAAAGAGAGCAAACTCCACTCCCTTCTAGCACTGATGATGTTACCTAGTTTGGTAATGAAACATCTGCAAGTAAATAACCAAACTCGGAGAGCACCAAGGACCCCACAATTCAATCCTGAGCTACAAATATCTTTTCTATTGGCATAGATTAGTTTGTGCCTTCAATTGCTCTGCCAGTAAAAATAACTTTAATCAAACTTGAGTTCAAATCATAGCCTCATAGATTTAGATTCAGACTTGCCACTGGACAGAGGGACTCTAATTCAGTAGAGGATCTTCAGGTATAGGAAGGGTCATAATTGTGATGACTGCCTTTTCTTTCTACATTTTTCTTTCCCGTAATGACATCTTAGAGAATTCCAGAGCTCTGGGAACAACATACTGGTGATAAGCTCTTTTCTTAATGTGGAAGATGGAATGTAAAAATCTTGTCACTAGCTTTATATCTGCCAGATTTTTGGTGAATTCAAATTGCAAGCATTCTAAAATAAAAATAAA